CCCCACTGTGCAGGGAGCTCCGATGTGGGACTCGATCCTAGGACCCTGGGATCATGACCTGAGCCGAAGGCAGACGCTTAACTAACTGAGCCACCCCCGCGTCCCAAAGAGGCTCTTTAATTATGTGAACTGTCATTATGCAGACACGAAGCATTCCTTTGCTACAGAGCAGAAGTCACAGGGCTGTGTGCTTAGAGTGGCCTTCCTGAGGAGCAGGGATGGTGACTGGACACACGGGGCTGGACTTGCTGAGGGTGTCAGGGAGCTCCAGCTGCCTGCTCGGAGGTGCATCTTCAAGGGCACTAGCCAGCCGCTCTGTGGGCCACCATCCTGCCCAGTGCCTTCCTGGTCCCCCCAGAGCCGTGGCTTGCCTGGGGTCACTGCAGGGCCTGTGTCTCCTCGCTGGCAGGCCTGCCACCTCTTGTGCCACCGGGGCCTTTTGCACTGAAGCGGCTGTGCCCTGCGTGGCTCACTAGAGCCCGTGCGTCTGCCGCTGCTTTCCTTCCACACCGTCCCCAGGTGGCAGCATGAGACCCAGGAGACAGTTGAGAATGCCTTAGGGGTTTACCTCAGCTGTCTCGTAGCCACGAAAACAGCCCAGTCTCAGAACGGTGAAGATGAACACTTTAATATGATCACAACGCCAAAAAAAGAAGTCATGACTCTTCTCTCGGTTTGTTTGGTCTCAAGGCTGGTCAAGTCACTTGAATTTCACTTGGGATTCAGTCTCAATTTCACATCTCCTCTTTATGATTGGTTTGGTGGTGGGGAGAGACTTGGGTAGCAGAAAAGGACAGAGTCATACTCACCTTCAGCAGATGCTCCACAAAAGCGGATTGGCTCATACGGGATCTATTGTTAACCCAGGTGTGCCCAGGAAGGATGTGGCAAACACTTCGCCTCACCCAGCAGGTTGAAGCGACACAGGAAGGTCCACGAGGGTATGTCTGGCACTCCCAGGTGGCCCCCGCTTTGAGGAGACCCCAGGAGAGTGTGTGTGTGTGCGTGTGTGTGTGTGCGTGTGTTGTGTCAAGTTCTTTGACTGTAAGATGCTCTGTTCTATGCCGTGGTCCCGCGGAGGTACCCAACACCATCTAGGTGGGGGCCACGTGCTGCAGGTTCAGGTTTTAGACTGGACCAGAGACATTGCACACCCTCGTCTGTTCTTCCACTCCTTTCGTCACTGTTCACAGCCGGCGTCTCTTGGTCTGCCACAAGTGCCTGGGGGTTCTCTGCTTCTGAGAGTGTTCGCGCTCCGGCCACGGTTGGCTTTTTCACCACTGTTACCTCTTTGATGCCTGTGTCCTCCTCTTCCTTACGGGCATCTGCTCAGGGCTTGGATAACAGTTTGAGGTTTTGGAGTTACCAGATTGTAACTTTTTCCAGAAAGACTTGATTAAATTACTTGACTCTACTCTCTGTTTTCTTGAGGGTTGTTTTTTTTTTTAAAGAATTTACTTATTCGACAGAGAGAGAGAGATCACAAGTAGGCAGAGAGGCAGGCAGAGAGGGGGAAGCAGGCTCCCCGCTGAGCAGAGAGTCTGATGCGGGTCTCGATCCCAGGACCCTGAGACCATGACCTGAGCCAAAGGCAGAGGCTTTAACCCACTGAGCCACCCAGGCGCCCCTCCTTGAGGGGTTTTTTATTCTGTATTCCAGTTTTCTAAGTATTGAGTATATGGGGTTTTTGTTGTTGTTGTTTTAAACATGAGACTAGCAGCTGAAGAGTGAGAGGTAGCCTCGTTCCTTTTAGTTTCTCTCTGTTGAGTTGGTGAAACACAGATTGGCTGTTAACAGTGACGGATTCTTCCAGTTCTGGTGCTTCGCATGATGTCTACTTTTGTCTACAGCGTTTCCTCTGGGTTCTTATTTTCTCCCTTAATTGCACCCTGCGTCTTTCCTGTATTGTATAACTTACCAGATAGTAAGACTGGAGGCCAGGGGTAGGCACACAACCACTGAGATGTAGAGTTGGTGGTCTGCCAAGCCCAGAAGACCACGGAGCTTTCACGGAGGAACAGAAGAGGCAGGCAGAAAGCAGGGAGGGGCGGGGGCTGCGAGCCATGGCGGCAGGGGAAGGGCAGCAACTTACCAGGAACAGCATGCTTCTGTGAAGTGTGCGGGCCTAAGACCCTACGTGGACTACCTTGCTACATGATTATTAGGTTTCCCTGCAAAACTGAGTTTTTATTCCCACCTCTAAAGACTAACCGAACATTACTGGGAGCCTGGAGAAAGATTATGTAGGCTTACAAGTTTCCTTTCTAATTACGTTTGGTATTTACACTGAATATTTATGAAAGGCAATGCACCAATGTATTTTTTTCTCAACAGGCTATATGTGTCAAAAAGAATGTTCCTTTGTGGCAAAAACATGGACAGAGCTTCTAAAACATGTGAGAGAAACCCACAAAGGTAAGGCAGACATGTATGGCACAGTGTAAATATTTGTCACTTTAGAACTGCTTTTAAAGAGGGAAATATTAAACATGGGCCTTAAAATAATAACTTTTCTGTGTCATGTTTTGAGATGTGCTGGGTACCTCAGCCGTTTGGCAAATTAGCAGACAGAGCTGTGGTCCCAGGTTCAGGAGGAGCTATGCCAGGAATTGCTGTGCACATTTGTGTTTTTTTAAGATGTTATTTATTTATTTGAGAGAGAGCACAAGGCAGGGAGGAGAAGGGCAGAGAGGGAGAGGGAGAAGCAGGTTCCCCACTGAGCAGGGAGCATAATGCGGGACTCAGACCCAGGACCCTGGGATCATGACGTGAGCCGAAGGCAGAGGCTTAACAGACTGAGCTACCCAGGCACCCCTAAATTAGTAGTCAAGAACCTTGGGAGGCACTGGTGGCCTATGGGACAGTTTGGGAAACAGTGCTTTATGTATTGGCAGACAAGGAAGGAAACTGGTCGTCTCAATCTCCCTTTGCCCGCAGCCACTGTGCTGAGAACCCCTGCTCCCTGGTAAGGGAAGAGTGACTTTCTGTAATACAAGAACATGGGAGAATTCAGACAGACTTCCAAGCAATAAAAATTGGAGTTCGTTTTCTGATTTATGATAATCATGACATTTTCGGCATCAAATACATTACTTATATATTGAAGTAAATTTTCTCTGTATGGTCATACCTGGGGAGATCGGTTAAGTTTGTCTGTCTACTCCACCAGAGGACATAAAATGTGAAGTATGCCAGAAAACATTTAAGCGCAAGGATTACCTTAAGCAGCATGTGAAAACTCACGCCCCGGAAAGGGATGTATGCCGGTGTCCGAGGGAAGGCTGTGGTAGGACCTACACAACCGTGTTTAACCTCCAGAGCCACATTCTCTCTTTTCACGAGGAAAGGCGCCCATTTACCTGTGAACATCCTGGCTGTGGCAAAACCTTCGCAATGAAAGTAAGTACTCGCCCTCCCGGATGCTGTCCTTTAGGTCTGGGGCTTCCCAGCTGGGTTCCTGGGAGCTCTGGATTCCAAGATGGTGCCCCAGGGCCTACAGATGGGGAAAGCCGGGTGCTCTGGACCTTCCATTCTGGCTTCAGCAGGAGCAGTTCTTAACTCAGGTCTGCAGAACAACCGGATCTTCCTATGCCAGTGGCTCTAAAAGCATGGCCCTGGACCAGGAGCATCAGTGTCACCTGAGAACTTGCTAGAAATGCATATCCAGAGGCCCTCCCCGGATCAGAAACTCTGGAGATGGGGCCCAGTAATTTGTGTTTTAACAAACCCTCTGGGTCTTCACGTCCTTGAGAACCAGTGGCCTGCGGTACCACATGCTTATTAGTTTTAAGAGTATGCTGATACTTGGGTGTCCTTTTAGACTGTCATCTTTTAGGGGTTGAGAGAGTGGGCAACAAGGACATGAGGGACTATAGCACGTGGGGATCTAGTCTGGATCTTGGTGTGACTTGAATAGGTAAGAACGGGACACTTACCAGAGGACCCGCGCTGCTCTGCGGACCCTCAGTCTGGCAGGTGCTCCTACAAGTGTGAACCATGAGTTACAGCTGAGTCTGAAGAGACAGTGAGGTGGGCGCCTCGTGCGTCCAGACCGTTAGAAAACAACCTGGGGCTGACGGGGGTCAGCATTATTGAGGATCGGAAGGCCTCGGTCAGATTTTCCACTGGGGTTTGGGAATGCTGCTGAGGTTCAGCTAAAAGAACCTTCTTCGGCTTGGAATAGCTCACTCAGAACTGGTTTCCCCTCCTCTTACTTACGAAACAACTAAGAAGCCAGCGGAGGTTGAGACTGTATAAGTTCCTAACCTGGGTCCTTCAGAAAGATAGTGATTTAGGTCTAGGATTTGAGGAAGAATTCTGCTTCTGGTGGGGGAATCTTTGTAAGCTGAGGTCACATCCTTCAATGGGATGTAACAGAAAGAAGGTGGACAGTTTATTTAAGTAAGTCATGGAGTTTTCCTATTAAGAGATACCAAAATGGCAGTGTTCTAAAGATGTAACTGTTTGTTTCTCCTTCATTGTAGCAAAGTCTCACTAGGCATGCCGTGGTGCATGACCCTGATAAGAAGAAAATGAAGCTCAAAGTAAGTTGAGTCAGGGAAGCTGTTGATTTTAAACGTCAGTTACCTCAGCCAGATGCAGTCTAGAATGTTTCAGCTCCTTAGTAGCGAGTGAGCCTGCACTGCTGTGGAAGGGAGGGCACGACCTTCACTCTGTTCTGAAGGAGCACTGTGTGCCGGGGTGGGGGAGGGTAACAGCTAGTAGAAGATCGGTTCACACAGCTTGATTTTGAATTCCCATTATCTTGTTTTCTTATCTCCAAAGGTAAAACCCTCTCGTGAAAAACGGAGTTTGGCCTCTCGTCTCAGTGGCTATATTCCTCCTAAAAGGAAGCAAGAACAAGGCTTATCTGCACCTAAAAATGGAGAGACCCTGAACTGTACTGAAGACAAAGTACTCTCGACTGCTGCGGCCCTTACCCTCAGCTGAACCTCACACTGCTTTGTTTAAATGACACCCAGCAGCCAGCTCAGTGACTTCCGCTCAGAAGCACATTTTTCTTTATTAAAATCACTGATGCACAACATCTGATTCTTGATTGTTTCTGTTTTCTTTGTTCAAAGTGTCTCCTTTCTGGGTTCCTTGAGCTTCTCTCCAGGCATTCTCTTCCTTTTTGCTCAAATGACGAAGAACACACATTACAGCTTTTCCTCCCCGAACAGGCTGTGGCCGGGATGAGAAGGTAGCTAGTCCAGGCATGGTCTGGAGTATTTGATGACAGATCTCCTCCTAGAAAGGGAAAACACCCAAAGATTAATTTAAAACTGTCTCTGATGCTTTCTAGTGTTAATGCTCTAATACACATAAAAATCAGCATTCCTGAATTGCTGTTAAGTGACTATCTAATATATCAAATTGTGCCTATCTGGTTAAGCTGACTGAAATCTGTATGATAACCAGGAGTTTTATAAATGTCACATAACTAACTGATGCACTGAAGGTTGATAGTTTTAAATTCCCACTCTGTCCTGGCATTGCGGGACTGTGTCTGGGCCCTTCTACCATCTCAAAAAAAGGAAGTACAAAGCAGTGGGTTTCGGTACTGACAGAGGACCTCTTTATCCCCCAAACTGTCAGTCTAGTGCATTTCTTAACATTGGTAACATAGAGTCACTGGGGTGATTAGAACAATACACCCAGTTCTAGAGATTCTGGGCTGAAACCCAGGCCTAAGTGATTCTAACCTGGAGTGAGGGCGGAAACCAGCAGACTAATGCTGCCTTTTAGCTGCTAAGGTCTTGGACTCTTAAGGGCAAAACAAATATTCTAGAAACTTAGCCTGGGAGTATAAACTGATACTTTCCAGAAAGGCAGTGTGACTTTTTATACATAATGCTTCTCAGGGGCATTATAAATAGGAGACTTTTAAAAATGAATCTTACGTTTTTAAATTATAAATACTGTGCAGTCTGTAAAAAGAATAATAGATAGCCCTGCGATTATGCAGAGCAATGTTTTCACAGGACAAAATACTTACGCTTCCATGGAAAAAGTGATGTACCCAGAGTATGCTTACATTTTGAAAAATGAATTGGAAATCTATTGCCATCACTGGATAGAATTAGCCATTAATCATCTTTGCCTTTACATTCTCCAGATTTTCTACAATTATATCTTTAGATCAGAAAACAAAAACCGTGAGCAGTTCCTCATGCCTGTACTCACCATCTTCTGTTCTGGCTCCTCTGGGTTCTTCCCTTTCTTTATGGTAATTTGAACTTTGTATTGTTTCTCAATCCACTGCTGAATCTGTTTACTCTTTGTATCCAAGTCATGTTGTCCAATATTTGAAGAAAAACTGAGTTCCTTTGTCAGGGTAGATCCTAGTTTGAAACAGGGAGACTTGGTGCTAGGACTGCTCACTGGTCTCTTCATGAGACCTGAGCCGTATCACACACTTCGGGAGAGATCAGCTTGGCACAGGGGCCCAACGCTCCTCTCTGACTTAGTTTCAAATGTTTTTTTAAACAAGGGAGATGGACAGACTTAAAGGTACCGATTTTTTACCTGCCAAGTAAGAGTATATTGGTCTCAGCCTTTAAACGTAAAGTAGATATTCTGTAATGTATGGAATGCTTCCATTATCCTTACCTTCATTTGATGAAAGAACAAAAGAATGGTCCTTTAAAAGGAACGAGTCTAGCTTTATGATAAAACTTGACTATCCTTATTTTTCCTTCTGATTAGAGCAGCAGCTGGGAAGTCCTCTTCTCCTCTCCTTTTGCGATGGCCTCCTAGTGACAGTGGGGTCATCCAGACTGCATGAGACAAGAGGGAGCTCCCTGTGTACTGTATTCTGAAAATGGAAACCCTGACTTTTCGAAAAATTATTTTACAGGGAAGGAACAAACTACCTAGTAAAAGCGCCGGGACAATTCAGAGTTTTGATATGGGAGAAAAATTAGGTCTCAACCCATACAACAATCTCCCTAGGAGGACTGACTAAATGTGAAAAAATTACAACTTTAAAATAGAAGAAAGGAAAGTGTATGTGACCTCAAGACGGGAGAAGGATTTTGTTAAGAAAAAATCTGGTAATTTCCTATATCAAAACACTACTGGGTAATTTTTAAAAGGGCAACAAAAGAAATCTAACCGGGACAAGGTTTTGGCATCACACAGAACAGAGAACCCTATATAAATTGGGGGTGGGGGGAGGACCATACAAGTAGAAAAACAGGGACGATAAACAGGTAATTCACAGAGGAGGCAGCTCAAATGGTGAAAGGAAATACAAATAAGTAAGACAGGCTTTCCCATCCATCAGCATGACAAAAATGAGATGAGAGTACCAAGTGTGGGTGAGGATGTGGGGAAAGAAATTTCATACACTGCTGATCTGCCCCACAGGCTCAGGACACTGACAGGCGCATTGTTCTCAATGAAAGACTGGAAACGAGCCCAATGTCCACGCAAAGGCACTAAAGCCATGGTATATGGTATATCCTTAGGATTCTATTTAGTAATTATAATAAATCAGCTACAGCTGTTCTATCAACATGACTCTTGAAAACAGCATGACATAATTTTTATGTGTATAAAATCCTGCTCTACACTGTATATATGGAACCGAAGCTTAACAACACAGATCTACTACACCCGGAGTCCATGATGGTGGAAAGGGAGGACAGCACCGGGAAACGGCGCACAGGGGACTTCCAACTTTTCTGGGATGTTTTATTTTGTTTAAGAATCTGAAGCACAGCAATGTTAATGCTTGTTCATTCTGGACAGTGGATAGTAGGTATTTATATTTTTCTGTATGCTTTCCAATTTCCAAAATAAAAGCAATGTTTCTAAGAAAAGAAAGTCCTTTTATTAACACCTCCTTGCTTCCCTCAAGCCCCTGCAGCTGGTCCTAGGTCTCTCTCAGGACAAAATAATGCCTTTAACACCTTAGCCCTCCAAGTAGCGCTCACAACAGCAACGGGTCTTCTCCAAGCTTCTCTGGGCTGTTCTACTACTTTTCTGGGATACAGTTTGAAGTCTTTACCATCCTAGTTGGCCTCCTCTGAATGCTCTTTGTTTCCTAGTCAACATCTCTGCTGAATGTGGGCTTACAAGACCGAGCCACAGACAGTGTGTGGTTTTCTTAAGATACACAACCTCACTGTGGCAGCTTCGGGACCAGTCTTCCTGGTCCCTGTCCCAGGCTGTTTAACAGAAAACACTCTTTCGTAATGATCAGCACTTAGCAGGAATCGTGACAAATCCATGACTATTCAATTCATGGTTCCATGAAGGCATCCATGACAAGGGCATTGGAAGGTGATCCACAAAAATGCGTAAATGAGCATTACTTAACCAATATTGTAACAAAACACTGGGGTGGGAGAGCCTAGGAAGTTAGAATCACCTGAATCACCTAGGAGGTTAGAAAGTGCTTCCAAGCAATTAATGAAGCACTGCCACTTTAGAGATGTGGGGGGAAAGGCGGGGAATCGAATGGCCCAGCCCTGGAACAGGGACTCGAATCCGCCACCTCCGAGTCTCCTTTCACTCCCACTGCGAATAGCTCTGCCACCCCCAGATCAGAGACTGAGCTAAGGACCACAGGGAAAAGCGGTTTCATCACTTTGGGGAGTTTACCTTATCCCCCACCCTGCACCTTTTTACACAGGCTTAAAGGAAGAGATGCTGTCCACAGGGCATCCAGGAAAAAATGGAATGGCAATAACGGAGAGCTGAAGAAAGATGTGGGCAGGGGTGGGGAGACCGTGAACTTCCCTGCTTTTTCACATCCCTAAGGTCACGGGGAGCCTTGGCAGATGCCGCTCTCAACTGCTGGTCCGGGGTCCCGAGGACTCAGTCTGCAGACAGCACGACACCTACCAGCTTTGGGGTTGGCCTTTTCCAGTTCCCGAAGCCTCAGCTGCTCCTTGTGAATCTGTGCCCCCGTCAGGAGCTGGTACTGGGGAGACTCGGTGCCGCTGTCCCGTTTCACGAGCCTCAGGTCCCGCTTGTTCATGAGCCTGATCACGTCTGCTCGGTGCATGTTTCCCAAATCATTGCCCGCCTCATCCAGCACGTGAATGACTCGCTCGTGAATTTTTCTCCCGATGCTGTTAAAAGCTGGCTCGCTCCTTTTCTTCTTCTTTCTTTCGTCCTGGGGGTCCGCAACAGTACTGAAAGCTTTTGCATGAATCCAGGAGGACAGTCTTGGGACAGAAGCTCCGAGGGACCGCTGCGCTGGGATGGTCTCATGCAGGATGCATCTACCAAGACATCTGCTGATGCAGTTATTTCCAGTCTTTATGGATTGTGATGTTAGCCTCTTTAGAAGAAGGGCGGCCATCCTAAAAAGCAGAGAGAAGGTTTGTTACAATTCCATCAGTTCCTCCCCGTGCTTTGATGCTGTGGTACACGGAGGGCGTGTGTGAGGTTGCAGGCCTAGGTCACCTGTGAACATTGTGGATCCGTGCCTGGGGAATTTACGCCAATGACATGCACTGTCAGGGGACTGTAGTCATATTAAGTGGTGGACGTACTGTCCCCAGCACAAGTTATTGTGAGAATAAACCGTACCTGCACAGTGCTGTCATTTTCTGTCATTTCTTCCCCCAATACTAGCTCATTTGACTCTATTTCCCAAGGATCTTGTAGCGCCAACTCTAAAAGCAAGAATCATCCTAAAGGTTTATTTAGGAGAATGCATAAATAAAATGCTTGGTGGTTCATAAATACCAACTCAAAAGCTTTTAATACAATCAACTGCTTAAACAATTTATCAAAATATCCACTGGTACACAGAAGACAAGAGCTCTATTCAGGGGAAAGGGACCCCCACGAAGGAAGCTGACCCCCTGGGAGCACTGATGGAGACTCTCAGGAAGGAAATACCCTGATGTAAATCAGAGTGCTGAGCTCATAAACTGTACGATGACCCACAAGGGAAGGCATGACAAGCCAACGTTAATGAAGCATTCAGTACACACGGTGATTCTGGTTTATTTCATAGGAATAACCACTGTTCTTATAAATGGCATTTTGATTTTGAACTTGCTTCTCTCCTCCAATAAGTCTTTCTCCTTCCATTCATATGTTGGGCAAAGCCTAGAGGAGTAGACTGGAGGAGGAAAGAGAGAGCCCAATCATGTCATCTGGGGTGGGCAACACAAGGACTCAGGGAGGTGGGCCTGTCCACAACCAAAGAGGATGGGAGAGGGGCCTTCAGCAGTGCTTCTCAAAGAATGGTCCCTGGGTCACCTGCAGGAGAGTCACTTGGAATGTTTGCTAAAACTGGAAGTGCCCTCTGGTGCCTAGCTTTGATCCCACCGGGCTGTACAATCACTGACGCAACCTCCATCATCACCCTGTCTTAGGCCTTGGATTGGGTTGACTGCGGTCCAAGCTGTCCACTTGGATATCTAATTGTCGCCCAAAGTGAAGACGTTCCCCACCGAACTCTCAGTCTTCTCCCCCTATGCTGCCTCCTCCCTCAGTCTTCCCTATGTCACAGAAAGACCACATGCCCTTCCAGCCGCTCAGGCTGCAAACAGCAAATTTATCCTTCACTCTCCCTTTTCTCTTAGCAATTTAGCACTGCAGCTGGCTGTTCAGCCTCTAAAAACCCAACCACACCTTGCCTTCTGTGTTGCTGTTACCCCACTACAAAAATATCCCCCTCTCTCACCTGGTTTGCGGTCAGCCTCCAGACTGCCCTCCTGCCTCTGCCCTTACCCCCTCTAATTTATCACCCACATCAACATGTACATGGCAGATGACGTCCAGCCTCTGATCAGAACCCTCCACTGGCTTTCACCTCTCTTGGGAGGGGATGGGGGAAGCCAAGCCCCTGAAGAGGCCCACAGCGGCCCTCACCCACCTCTGCCCACCGCGCCTATCCCACCTCTGCCAGCTCTGTTCCAACCTCACTGGCCTAGGGGCTGTTCCTGGCACATACCGAACACAGTCTTCTTCTGGGTCCTTCCACCCAGGAGGTCCCTTCCCTTAGCTGTGTGGTTCATTTACCTCAGGCCTCCCTCGGCTTAAGGGTACTGCTCAGCGAGGCCTCCCCATCCACTCTATAGAACACTGTACCCCCGTCACTTTCAAATCCTTACCCCCGTCACTTTCAAATCCATTACCTTGCCTTTGAAAGAATCCACATCCCGCCATAGTCTATAGCTACTTTGCACACATGTGCACAATCTGTCCTCACTAGAATGCAAGTTCCTAACACTAGAGCCCAGAGCCCCTATCAGCACGGACATGCTGAGCGAACCAATGTTTGAGCCAAAGAGAATAGCCAGGAGGGAAGGCGGTGTCTGCTGGTGTCTGACCCCTGGGTCCTCAGATGCATCATTCCCTAGCAAAACACACAAATGCAGGTAGCCCCTGCGCTTCACGTTCTGGCTGGCCTCCCAAATGTCACTGGCCTCACTGAGATCTAAGGGCAGATGCTCTACCCACAGGGGAGGAGATGAACTCACTCACAGTTGCTACCTGGTCAGGACTCCAGCTGCAGATGTGGTAAAGGCTCAAGAACAGGAGCAGACTGGATCTTTTTTTTTTTTTTTCATTTTTATTTATTTTTAAAAAAGATTTTATTTATTTATTTGATGAGAAAGAGAGAGACACAGAGACAGAGAGAGACAGAGTACGAGCAGGGGGAGCTGCAGGCAGAGGAAAAAGCAGACTCCCCGCTGAGCAGGACTCGATCCCAGGAGCCTGAGATCATGACCTGAGCCGAAGGCAGATGCTTAACTGACTGAGCCACCCAAATGCCCCCCAGACTGCATTTTAAGTAGCTGAGATACTCCTGTTTAACAAAATAAGTCAGATATTTGTTGGTGGAGGAAGCCCCCAGACCAAAAAAGCAGAAAAGCCTGAGGAGACCAGAGAAGACGGTTTTCCATTTAGCATCAGAAAGATAGCAGCAGTACCAAATTTCACCAAGAGTCAGCTGGCGCTGACAGTAATGGAAGACAGCGACTGCATCCTGGGTAATGAATTCTCAACACATTAAAACAGAGAATATTATTTCAAAATGTAGGATTTTTTTATCTCAAAATGTAGGGTTTTCAAAAACAAGAAAGCATATGAATAAACAAAGCATAAGAAAAGGATAAAATAAAATTTATGAAAGCCCTGGTTGTTTGTGGTAAAGGACACAAGTGATTTTTCCCCCATCCTTCCTAATTGTCATTTTCCCTCCATCTTTTACACGGAAGAAATATTTTTTTTTTTTTTAAAGATTTTATTTATTTATTTGAGAGAGAGACAGTGAGAGAGAGCATGAGCGAGGAGAAGGTCAGAGAGAGAAGCAGACTCCCCATGGAGCTGGGAGCCCGATGCGGAACTCGATCCCGGGACTCCAGGATCATGACCTGAGCTGAAGGCAGTCGTCCAACCAACTGAGCCACCCAGGCGTCCCCGGAAGAAATATTTTTTACTAGTAAATGAAATTACAAAATAAAGATGATTTCAGAAAAATGATGTAGAATTTTTTTAAAAACTTTAAAAACACTTTCCAGGAAAAGGAAAAGGAGTAGAAAAATACTGTAACTATATTTTTCTTTAAGTTCTGCACCATTATTTAAATTTTAATAAAGTTTTAAATTTTCTTTCCTTTTTTTTTTTTAGATTTATTTATTTGACAGAGAGATCACAAGTAGACATAGAGGCAGGCGGAGAGAGAGGGGGAAGCAGGCTCCCTGCTGAGCAGAGAGCCTGATGTGGGGCTCGATCCCAGGACCCTGAGATCATGACCTGTGCTGAAGGCAGAGGCTCTAACCCACTGAGCCACCCAGATGCCCCACTTTTAAATTTTCTTGACAGTAATTAAGCTCCAATACTAGCTAAATTTTAGCTTTATGGCAGCAAAGGTAAACATATACATATTTCTTCAAAATCAGCTTTTCATAGATAAAATATAAATGTAATGTTAAGAAAAAAGCCGTGAGATCACTAAATTTGAATTGTAAATACCAACTTAAATTCTAATAATTAAAAAGCTTTTTTGGGGCGCCTGGGTGGCTCAGTGGGTTGAGCCGCTGCCTTCGGCTCAGGTCGTGGTCTCAGGGTCCTGGGATCGAGCCCTGCATCGGGCTCTCTGCTCGGCAGGGAGCCTGCTTCCTCCTCTCTCTCTGCCTGCCTCTCTGACTGCTTGTGATCTCTCTCTGTCAAATAAATAAATAAAAATCTTAAAAAAAAAAAAAAAAGCTTTTTTAAGAAAAGGTTTATTTATTTGAGAGAGAGAGAGAGCAAGTGCACAGGAACACAAGCAGGGAGAAGCCGACTCCCCTCTGAGCAGAAAGCCCAAAGCAGGGTGCCTGGGTGGCTCAGTTGGTTAAACGACTGCCTTCAGCTCAGGTCATGATCCCGGAATCCCAGGACTGAGTCCCGCATCGGGCTCCCAGCTCCATGGGGAGTCTGCGTCTCCCTCTGACCTTCTCCTCGCTCATGCTCTCTCTCACTGTCTCTCCCTCTCTCAAACAAATAAATAAAATCTTTTAAGGAAAAAAAAAAAAAGCCCAAAGCAGCATTTGATCCCATGACCCTGGGATCATGACCTGAGCCAAAGGCACACACTAAACCAACTGAGTCACCCAGGCACTTCTAAAAAGCTTTTTATTTGGGAATGTTTCAAAGATGTTCAGGCAGAACAGTATAATAAAGCCCCAAGCACCCAGCACGCAGCTTCTTAATAGCATGTAGCCAAACCAGCCTCCTCTCTGCCTCATCTACTCTCGTACAACCCCAGCGGCCCATGAACTATTCCAAGGTCAATCCTATCTCGCCAGCATATACCTCAGTAAGTCATCTCCAAGAGGTGCGGCTTCTTTTGTCTTTTAATGACCATAATGACATTACCCCAACTAATAATCATTCCTTTATGTTACCAAATATCCAGTTTTCTGGCTTCCCCCACACTATTGTAATTTCATTTGTTTATGTTTCATTCACAGGTTGGGAGCATGGACAGACTCCCGCTGGCGCAAATGTGTGGTAATCTCAACACTAAAGAACAATGGCAGAAAGTTGTTTCAACACATGGAATATGCAAAAATCTACAAAAAAGAAAGATCATTTGCCAGAACCGCCGTGACTATTATCCGGATTCCTTACCGTGAAAATTGGTAAAGAGAAAGGACTAACCATTCACCCTACCTTTTTAGGAAGAACTGACATCAGCAATCATCCCCAGCTGGTAAAGAAAAGCTCTTCGTTAGAGGAGAATGCCAGCTAATAAATGGAGAAGACAAGCCATTTAGAAATCACCATTTTGCCACCTTCAATCAAATCACAGGTCCAGGCAAGGGTGGATACAAAAACCATTAGATACAAAGCTAAT